GAACATGGAGAATCTCGAGATTTATGGATTGCAGTATATAGTAAAGTTAGTGAACTCAGAGGCAATGCAAATAAGATCTCTTTATAAAGTAAGAGTCGTGAAGGTAGCCTATTGCAATAATCTACTGACCATTGCACAACTTGATTCGAGTAGATCGTTACAAGATCTTGAGACACTTGAAGTAGAAAACTGTAAAGCACTGGAAGTGCTGTTTGACTTTGAATGTGACAAGGTTACAAAAGATCATGCTGAAAGCGTACTTGGTCGACTGAGATCACTGCAGCTGAAATATCTAGACAAATTAGTGCACATTATAGGGATCGTTCCTAAAGGAATTCGTGTCTTCGAGAATTTGACATCAATTGTTGTTGAAAGATGTGGCATCTTGAAGTATCTATTCTCACCTTCAATGGCCTATTCTCTTGTGGCTCTGAACGATCTAGAGGTTTTAGATTGTGGATCAATTGAAGAGATTATTGGAAATGAAGAAGAAGGCACTTCAGAGATTAAAATAGCTGAAGGAATGAAAACCAGAATTGTGTTCCCTAATTTAAACCATCTACTACTCAAGAATCTTTCAAGCATTCAAATGTTTTGTTCTCAGAACTGTGAACTCGTATTCCCTTTATTGAAGGACTTGACTATTGAAAATTGTCCTATGATGACAAAATTGAGTCCATGGCCAATAAGTGCACCGAAGCTTGATATTTCTGATTTGTTGGATAAGGCAGGTATGTATGTGTTCTGAATTCCTATTTTACATCTTCTACTCTATTGCTCTATTTGCTCTTACACTATTTATTTATTAATATTCTTTGTTTCCCAGGCGGCTTGGCAGAGGAGAATCAAGTTTGTAACAAATAAAAATTACTTGAGAAATATGAAGTTCCTAATTTCCTAGGTATAAATTCTGATGAACTCATTTCTTATCTATGGAATATCTATTTGAATTCTACTGATTAAATTATTAAAACTCGTGTAATAAGTACTCTTACTCTTGTTTGAAATGCTTGCAATATATTATGAGTGGTTTGATTTCAAGATTTCGGCTATTTTTTTATGTTCAATAAATGATTATGCATGGAATCTTCACCAAATC